TACTTACTCTCACTTGTATTACTTTACTGTGGATAATTTTTTTTTACTGTGGATAATTTTTGGGAGTTGGACTAGCTGATCTCTATGGTCCCTTCCAACTCTAAAAATTCAGTGAAATTTTGTACACCAACACAAATCCAATGTTAAATACAAACTGTACAAAAGATTCACTTGTTCTACTAGTGAAAGAGTTGCCTCAGGGACAGAATCAATTATGGTTACTGAACAGGTCTAGTACATACCATTGGATGTGTCCTCACCCAGATCCTCCTACTCACATACTATTCTTGCAAGCAAATCTATGGCAGTTTGGAATATATGCCTTTTGCCTTACTCAGGAATATCTCATAATGTTTGCTCCATGCCTTGCAACATGCTGACTTCCACACATTTGTTGGAACCACCAAATTCTCCAGTTCCCAGAGTCTGCAACTTCTGGCCCTAGGGCTTCTCACGAGTCTTTTAAGCGATGGAGGCTGCTTGCTGCAGGATGCTGAGAAAGTTGTACCACCTGTAATTGGAAAATCTGGAGTTATCTTCACAATGAAGTGCTCTCTCTGCATTTCTGTCCGTCCTTCTCTCTCGCTGTATGTAATAGTAATGTTTTTTTATTATTTAACAGATTTTTACAAGTGCCCATACTAACACGAATGCCAGTATTCATACCTTTAAATGCCTCAGGAAACTGATGTCCTGACACTCCCTCTGAGAAGGTTTGGCATCACCCGTTCTATTTCTTCTAAAGTCAGGTAGCACAATCCCCCCGTTACTTTGCCACCATCTAATGCCCATTTAGAATTCTCTTCCTTGCAAAAGACAATTATGATTGACTTGTTTCCACCAACACAAAGAACACGTTAACTGCTCCCATGGAGGCATCTATAAACTCCCATCTTATATGACTGGCACCATCAGCAGACTCCAGGGGGTTAGTCCCTTCCGTGTGCACAGAGGTGATTTATACCCATCTGTCATATCATGATCTTTCAGGCTTTCTCCATTATTGACTTTATCCATCTGCTGAAGCAGCCCTGCACGGTGTTAAGAAACACCGGTTCCTTCCATGTGCTAATGATGTTACCACAGCTCTGCACTTTACCACCCTCTGGGAGTCTCGACCTCGTGTTGGCAGAATTCTTCTCGTGCCCTATCATCACAGAACACTACACAGACCCCTTCTGAGATATTCATGCGAGTCTCCTTCTGAAGCGCAGAAAGCCAGCAAGACCCTCCTGACAGTCCTTCTATACTATTAAGACAAGTCTTTGACGCAGAAATTGCTGCATCTTTAATCTCCAAGCAAGTATTATTTCATTAGCACTTTGAAACATCTGAAGAGAACCATTTAAAAGACTTCTATTCAACAGGCAATGAAAAGATCCCAGGAACCTGACAGACCTGCTCCTTTATGTTTGTTCCGTAAATGTCTTTTCTCTGTCCCTCTTGGCAAGTATCTTGCCTTTTTGGCAGGAATTGTTAAATCTGCAACAGAACTTCTGGACTGAGATTTCCCCATCTTCATCATTTTTTTTTTTTCCCCTTTGGCCAGGCAGGAAGCTGTTTTGCAGCCAGATTTGCTTAAGCCATCTTGCTTAACGGTACCGAGAGTAAATAACCTTCCTGATCTCCCTTGGCCTTTCTTCTGCACCTCGTACTTCAGGCCGAATGCCACGGGCTTGTGGCAAACTTTGTTTGCTCATCTTGAGCAAAACTTCCACCACGCTGTCGCCCACTGGGCCTTGCAGTCCATACATTTTTGGGAGTCATTTAATGTTCCAAGAAACAAGTTCGTTATTGATGAGGCATCTATCCTAGGTAAGCTCCGGTACGGAGACACTGTGTTATTTACCCAGATCACAGCCCTGGAGCAACATTGGAAGCCTCGCAGGTCTTATTTGGTCCTTCCTTTAATCTCATCTTGCAGTGAGGTGGAGGCACAGGAATCTTACCCAAATGTTGCAACAGTTTTCCTCGCTTCCCATGGTGCATTACGAGGTGCAGGTTGTTACCAGTCAGTTGATCAGGAGAAAGCTTATGCTACAAATGTGGTTAAAAAGACCTTTGTGATTCACAAAAAACTATGTGATAATGATTTACTGGGGTATTTGGAGAAGAAAAATTTTTTTAAATTTAACTGAGTTTTAAAGAAGAATTTGTTGAACAAATACACGATTTTATTACCTAAAATAGTAAAATGAGTGTAAGTGAAAGAGGAAAATTAAATTGGCTGATTCGTTTGCATGATTTAAAATGTAAAGATTGGGAATATACCTACAGTGAATACCTGCCTGAACCTGTTAACAGGACAGAATAGGAAATATAAACTCCTTTAAAATGTGATTAGTGTTTGCAGATGGGAGGAAACATTTGCTATGGCTTGGTGTGTTTTATTCCCCTCTCACTTGCTGCTTCCTTAGTGTTAAATCCCTTTTCAATATGACAAAGGGACATTTGAAGACAGTACGTTTTATCCAGAAATAAATCCCCAACAAATAACTAAGACATTTGAAAACCTCAGACTAACATGTAGAATTTCAAGGGAATGTAAAATTTTATTTCTGGGAGAAGCACGTAATTAATTATAATTTAGGCCATCTACGCAGAATACTATTTCAAGAGGAGCCTCAGGAGTGTTTGTTAGGTTTCTAAAATACCATCTTTCCAATCATCTACCTCCTTTGTATCATAAACTCCAGGCCCAGTATAACTTCTTCAGTTTTAAATGTAAAAGTGTGCTGGGCAAAGCCATGTCCTGACCATAGCTGTGGTTGGTTTTCTCTCCTACTCAAGGTTATGTCCACAAAGATAAGGGCACAAACTAATAATAGTACCAGTAGAGCTGAGGTTCTGCTTTATATTCTAGGCAACCAGATTTGCTGATGGGGGGAAAAGAGAGGAGGCTGTGACCAAAAGCTGCACGGTACATAAAGCTGAATGCCCTTACTGTGTTGATTTTGAAGTTATTTTTACCTGACTCTGCCATCAAAGAGGTAGTGAAACCCGGAAAACCTTTGCTTGGCCATAGTTGGTTTCCTTGAGGCACGAGGTCCTGGAGACCCGGAGTTCTGCATCTGGGAAGAGGCTGAGCCCTGACTATGAGAGAAATACTCTGTGAAAATACTTGACATGGCCTTTCAGTTTCTGTTGTATTTTTCTGTAACTCATTTTGAAGGAGAACATGATTGATTTTGATAAAATGGTATGAATATCCAAACAGGATGGTCAACATTTCTGGCTAACGTACATGTACTTTTCTGAACCAAGGGCAGTATTTTTTAGGATAGTCTCCACTTAAAATCTTTTTAAGGCAATAAAAGAGCTAACTAAAAGCAGTTTCAATTTGTTGATTCTGGTCCAAAGACGTATTTCACCCGGTGCTGGGTGTACTTGAAGAATGACGTGTTTAACTTGTGTTTTGTCCTTTCTAAATAGATTTTATACCAGTAGGGTATTTCCAGAGCGGTTCAACTCAGTTCCCATGTTCTCTTGCCTGAGGTTTTTGTAATGCATGTGTCTAACAAGTACAAAGCCATCAGACACAGTAATTCTACAGCGTCGTAAGATCTTGGTATTATGGATTTATGGAACGGATTCACAGAAAAGACATTTCAAACTGCCAAGTTTAACCCTGTGTGGAAGGCTTTGATTGTTTAATAAGTAAGCAGTCATAAATGTTGATTTGCATTCACTCTAATTGCTTAGTAGACCTAGAGAGAGACAACCAGGGCAAGACATGGGTGTTTGGGAGAGCAGGCGGCTCTGAGGAGAGGCTGAGGGAGCCAGGACTGCTCAGGGGGATCTTGGTGGCAGGTAACGAAGATGACAGAGCCAGGCTCTTCCCAGTGGTCCTCTGGGATGGGACGAGAGGACACAGAACCAAAATAGAGGAATCATAGAATCGTCTAGGTTGGAAGAGACCCTTGGGATCATCAAGTCCAACCACCTATCCTACTCTACAAAGTCCTCCCCTACACCATGTCCCTTAGCACTGCATCTAAACGGCCCTTAAACACAGCCAGGGATGGGGACTCCACCACCTCCCTGGGCAGCCTGTTCCAATGCCCTATCACTCTTCCGGTGAAAAATTCTTTCCTAATGTTCAATCTAAACCTACCCTGTTGGAGCTTGAAGCCATTCCCTCTCGTTCTGTCACTAATTACCTGTGAGAAGAGACCAGCACCAACCTCTCTACAGTGTCCTTTCATGAAGTTGTAGAGAGTGATGAGGTCTCCCCTCAGCCTCCTCTTCCTCAAACTAAACAGTCCCAACTCCCTCAGCCGCTCCTCATACGATTTGTTTTCCAGCCCCCTCACCAGCTTCGTTGCCCTCCTCTGCACTCGCTCCAGCACCTCCAGATCTCTCTTGTATTGAGGTGCCCAAAACTGGACACAATACTCGAGGTGTGGCCTCCCCAGTGCTGAGTACAGGGGCACAATCACCTCCCTGCTTCTGCTGGTCACACTATTTTTGATACAAGCACGGTGAGGGTGGTCAAACACCCGACTGCAGCTTGCACATGGAGGGCTGTGGAGTCTCCAACCTTGGAGGCAATCAAACCCCCAGTCGGGCAGAGCCCTGGGCGACCGAGCTCCGGGTAGCCCTGCTTGAGCAGGGAGCGGGACCAGGCCACCTCCGGGGGACCCGCCGCTGGGCCTGGCGAGGCGATCCCGAGGCAGGTGTGCCGGGGCTGGCGGCGCGGCCTGTGCGGGGAGGCCTGTGCGGCGGTTGGGCGCGGGGGGCCGCGGCGGGCCCGGGCGGCCTCTCCTTCCCCCGCCCCGGATACCCCTGCCTGCCCCCCCGCCGCCACCACCAGGCCGGGGTTCCCCTCCTCGCCTTCCCCGGGGGGAAGGAGGAAGCGGCGCATCCTCCTGAGGGGAGCGAGGCGCGGCGCTGCCCGCGCCCCCCCCTCTCCGCCCAGGGCGCACGGCGGGGCGGGACGGAGGAAGCGGCGGCCTCCCCTCCCTTCATCTCCTCCCTCCCGGTGCTGGCGGCGGCTCCTCCTCCCGTGTGTGACCCGTTGCCGCATGTGAGCAAAGGAGGAGGGACGGCGCCGGGGCCCCAGTGTGGCGGCGGCGACAGGAGGAGGAGGAGCGGGAGCTGCGGAGCGGCGTGTCCTCCCCCCCCGGGCCCGGAGCCTCATCACCGGCCCTGCCGGCCGCCCCCCATGCCCGTGTGGTGCTGCCGCTGCGCCTTGGCCGGCCACTTCAGGTGAGGCGGCGGGGAAGGAAGGGTGGCGGCTCAGGGCCGGTGAGGGGCTCCGGGGGATGAGGCGGGGAGCGCGGCCGCTGCTGCGGCCTCCGCGGGGCTGCCGGGTGGTGGCGGTCCCCGGTGAGGGAAGGGGGATGGAGGTGGCGGCCCCCGGGGAGGGAAGGGAGATGGAGGTGGCGGCCCCCGGTGAAGGGGGATGGAGGTGGAGGTCCACGGTGAGGGAAGGGGGATGGAGGTGGCGGCCCCGGAATGCTCCTCGGTGACCTTGGGCAGCGCCGAGGCGCTCCCCGGGGCTGGGGGGAAGCGGCGGCTGATGATGATGATGCTGGGTTTGGCGGCGGCGACCCCGGTCCTGAGGGGGGACATCGCTCTCCGCCGTCACTTGACACAGACACACGGGCACCCCCCCACCCCCCAACCCCTCAGCGATCCGACAGTGTTCAGTTTGATCGGTTTGAGATCTAAAATTCCTTTTATATAACGGGTTTTCTGTTACCCGCCCACTCTAGTCAGTTCTTCCTTTTTTTTTTTCTTTTTTTTTTTTTTTTTTCTTCTAAAACTATGTAGGGAATTCTAGGATCTTTCAAAGCCGCTACCTGAAAAAGGCACCTCTTATTTTAATAACTTGCAGCGAATCAAGACTGTTATCGTGAAAAAAAAAATACTATTTTCTTTTACGAAGTGGTCAAAAGCGTTTATGTGTGCGCTGAGTTTCTTCTCTTCGTGGGTTTTCCCCATCAATTAAAAAATAACTGAAAAACAAAAAAAAAAAGGAAATAAATAAAAAGATGTAGGTGTTTAGCCGACTGTAATTTTTGGGGTCGTTTGGTGTGACCAGCAGAAGGTAAACTCAGCCCCGGCTTTGGAACCGACTCATCTCTGTGCCCACTTCCATCTCTGCAGGACTAGAGTCATCGATATTTTTTCCCAAATCCCCACCCCCTGCAGAGCTGTTCGCTGTGAGTTTTGTCAAGATGAAAACTTCCGCTGCTTGGTTGGTGGCTTTTTGGTGATGTTTGGGAGGAGGGAAAGATGGTGGCCCCCTAACTTAAGGTCTTGCCGAGTTGTGGAATGATGCTCTTGCAAAGGAGGAAGGTGCTCCTCACAACAACGGTCCTTCATGGGTTTCTTATGCAAAATAGCTGCGAAACTGCATGTTGTATGCGGGCGTTTCTGTGCAAAATTAGATGCTGCTGTGCTGAAGCAGTTGGATAGTTTGTGATATGTTATCTAAGCTGCACCAAAGCCACGTTTTTAGTGCTAAAGATTCTTTTGTAGACTACGGCACCGTGTGTGTAGCCCATAAAAGAGGTTTTGAAATGTTTCTTTTGGTTTTTTATCTTCCATCTAGCCCAGTAAGTGTATTAAAACCACGGTGAAACAGACGTGCTCCCTTTAAGCCTCTCTTTTGCAAAGAGTAGGGTGGTATTGCCTTAGTTAACTCTGAGCAAAGGCTGGAAAATAATATAGTCTGCCTGTGCCTATCTAAAAGCGGAGGTGAAAAAAGCAGTATGATAATTAGATATCTTCTCTCTGCCTCCTGTTCATCTACGTGATGCATCTTCCAAGATCACAGAGGGCTGGTGTGCAGCTGTAATCAAACAGTAAGGACGTCATTTGCAAACTTTTTTTTTTTGTTGTTGTCGTAGTACAGGAAACACAGACATTGAATACTTGCTTTCTGAAATAGATACAACCTCAGAATAGCTCCCCACCCTTTTTAACAAGGAAATAAGCATCACAGAGATGTAGTACACTATGTGCCAGGGCTCTTATTACTGTACAGCTCTGTCTCTAGTTTGCTTCAGACTTGCCCATCGAGGAAGGGCTTTTGAAATCCGTAGCAGAACCCTCAGTCCTGGTGGGAGTTGAGGTGGTGTGGAGCGTACGTGGCTTCTTGAAGGCTGTGGGAATTGGATCCTGCCTCGTGCTTTTGGTTCTGTTTAGAAAATAATTCCTGAAATACTAGAATGCAGAATCTTAGGAAATAAATAACCTCATAAGTAAAACTGTGTTTGTAAAGAGAAGAATGTTTAGGTTGAGGTGGTTGAGTCACCGTCCCTGGCTGTGTTTAAGGGCCGTTTAGATGCAGTGCTGAGGGACATGGTGTAGGGGAGGACTTTGTAGAGTAGGGGAGATGGTTGGACTCGATGATCCCAAGGGTCTCTTCCAACCTCAATGATTCTATGATTCTAGGTTGATTAGGGTATTATTAATTAAAAAGTTGTTACATCTTTATTTTGAAGGGTTAATAAAATAACTGCCAATAACAGACTATTTTTAATGTGCCTCTGCCTTTCTAGCCAAACTGATAGTGCGTGCTTCTTCAATGACCTGGAAAAGCTTCAGAAAGTGCTCCTAAATAATTAAACAGCAAACAATATCAAATAAGCCTTCATAGTCTAGATGGTGAAGAGTTATGAGATGCACCTAAGTTAGATGTTGCAGGGAAGAAGGGAGACATCCAGGAGAATGCCTGGGGGTGAAAGCAGTCTGCTGCGCAGTAGCGGACCTGGCCGTGTGGTAATTCCTGTTACGAAAAGTTTTCTTTTAACACTGCTAAAACAGGCTGTTTCTGGGGCGTACAGGGATCTTTTCTCTGCCTTCAACCAGCCCGACTTCTACCCAAAGAGAGGTTTCTTGAGGGGAAAGTCCACCGTGCTGCTCAGCAGGTAGGAAGGGATGCGAACGGCTGCTGTGCCGTCGCTGCTCCTTCAGCCTTTGGCTGGCCTTAATGTTGTTAATTGGCTGGCAGCGTGTGTGTCTCGCCTGTTTTGATAAGGATAATGAGGAACGAGTTCTGCTGTGCGGGGGATCAAAATAATGCTTGTTGGTTATACTTCAGCTTTGTATGAACCGAAATTAGAAATCTGCATCTCTGCAGAGCCATCTGTGCCTTTTTGTTATCCTTCTGTACGCTTTCTAGAAGATGGACTTTAAAAAAAAATAATAAAATCTTCTGTTAGAAAAGCTGTGCCAAAGAGTAAAATTTTATAGATTGGATGGAGTATATCAGTTTTAGTGGTGGTTTTTTGCCAATTCCATAGCTCTTAAAATAAAGCAGCAAAAGAAGCTTTATTTTTGAAGAGACTGTTCTGACAACATTTCAACTGTTTCATTTTAGTTTTCTCTCATCTGTCCTTCTTCATTAGAAGTTACAGCAGCCCTGAAACTGAAGGACAGCTTTTGAATTCCTTCGTCCAGTATTTTGGTGACAGCCTTGGGAGGAAGATTAAAAGAATGCCTTTAATAGAAGAAACTGTTCTGCCTGGGGACTCCCTCCTTACTCTGCCTGTAGTAATAATAGGTGAGTTTTTTCGCTTTTTTAAGAGTCTGTGTCACTGGTGTTGCCTTTATAGACCTGCTGTGTGAAGTCATTCATCGCTAACTAACTAATGCTTAGCATCCTTACAGTGAGGAAGTTTATTAGAGTAATGCAGTTGGTATGATTAACAACAGTACCATAAAATGATGCTAAGGGACTTGCTAGTTGAGTATATTGGAATTCAAATCGTGCTTTGACAAAACGAGACGCGTTACTTGGCAGCAGATACCTGAGCCTTCAAAGAAGAACTGGTTTGCTTCTGGTGTTGATCGTGTAGGGTGGTATGTCTTCTTCAGGTTGCATGGAGGTTGTCCATGTCCACAATAGAAATGTGTGGGGTCGGATGTGACAGTGAAAAGCATTATGTCAGGTGTGTGCTGTATGTTGGTTGGGGGCTAAACTCTCTCAGTAATTGCCTTTTTCTTTGTTGCATCCATCACTAATGGCTGAATATTGTGCCATCTTTTCCAGAATGAGTCCAAGTCAATTCAACCTGTTTAAAACAATAAATTGTAGTCTTAGTTAAATAGTTAAAGGCTTGTACTTGTAAAATCTTGCTGGATGGCAGTATAGCAGGGGGAGCAGGCTCCTTAACACACACAGCTTAATTGAGAGTGCCAGGATGATTTGTATGGGGCCAAGGTTTCTCAGCACCAGCTGGTCACCAGCTCCTTACCGCCATGACTTGATGAGGGGATAAAGAAAAGATCTGGAGTAAAGGAGGTTTGCAATAATCTAGTCCAAAGCTGTTGGGACTACAACAAACCAACAGCTTTAACTGTATACCTGCAGACAAGCAAAAATTAGGGTGAATGATGTTTCCACAGAATGTATCCACAGCTTGGGAAGCCCGGTGTTTGTGCAGGGCCTGTTCTCAAAGCTCTCTCCACCACAGCTTAAAATAGCCCTCGTGTAAGAGACTTACGTGGTCGTGACAGACATGAATCACTCGCTGAGTTCTGCATCGTAGTTGGAGAGCAACAGTTCCCTGGCGTTTTGTCAACCTTAGGATAGGTTCGCCATATGGTTAATGACTCAAGTTTTCACTGTTTAGTTTTGCAAATATACATTATGCAAATACCTGTGCTCAATACTTATTTTGCCTAGAGCGCCCTTCGTGCGCTGACACCAAACACAGCTGCCTTGACTAGGTCTCCTTGGAAAAAAAAACACAAACGTTGCCTAAATGCTTTTTCACAGATACATTTGAGACACTTAAGAAGTTATCTTCTCTATTGGCAGGCTGTTAGCACTAATTCATTGGCTGTCTGAAGAGCCTTAAAGGGATCTAAAATGATTTAACTGCATAGTAGAAGAATGCAAAAACAGTTTTCATCCCTCTCCATGTATACACACACATATGCACGTGCTCACTAGTGGTTTAATCTTTACCATGCAATTCCTGTATAGCTGGAGTTAAAGGTTTAGCTTCCTAGTGCTGCCATCATCTTATTGCACTGTTTTGTTAATCAGAAAGCAAAAGACGGCACATGTGTAAGCAGGTAACTTCAAGATGGAGCAATAACTTGTATTCCCCTTTCTTTAACTTGCACCATCCCCTTTTCCCCCCGTGCGATGCCCAATTTAAGATTTAATTCTAGGTTTGTTCTATTGTACTGCAGTTCTGCATAAAGTACTAAGCTACTGTGGTAATATTAAGTAACTTTTGTGCTAGACCTATCTTCAAGAAATGGGAAAGAAGTGGATACATTCCATTTGAATGAGTTGGGATTGAAGAATTTCATGCTGGGGCTCTGAGTCTAGAGGATGTTTCTATGCTGAACACTTTCAGCTTCTGCACTAGTTTTGATCATTACTGTACAAGCACAATGTTTTAAATTTTCATCCAAATAACGAGACTGTTATGATGTTTGAAGTTGATTATTTGCTTTAAATTTAGACACATCATGTCAGGAGGATTGTATGGTAGTTTACTGTGGATCAGGAGAAGCTTCTGCTGCTGCTGAAACAAAATATTAACTGCTCCTTAAACGAACAGGGCCATGGGATTTGGGGGTATATTGATTGTATATCTAAAGTTTGTGTAGTAATAATATCTCTGAGTTGTGATCAGAGCAGTTATTGGAGGCATTGTGTGTAAATAAAGGGCAATATCCTCAGGTATAAATTTCTCATTTCAAAAAGTTTGTTGTTTTAGGTTCCCCCCACCCCCGCCAAGAATTTTCTGAGAAAATCATAGCAAGTCTAATTGCAGACCTTGCAGCTGAACCTTCATCTTGGGCGTTCTTGAGATCGTGTCCACAAGGGAATAATTTCTTTCCCTTGGCCTCAGTCTGCTCAAAGAAGAAGAACTGGGTTTTGGATCAGTTCTCCGGGTGGTCCCAGGGGAGTGGCTGAGGAGCTCAGTAATTCACCTTAACATAAGCCCATCCTTGGTAATTTCCTTCATCCTTCCCAGCCTTTGTTTCGGCAACTTTTGTTACCCATTTGGTTCTTTTTAGTCTTAAGCAGTAGGAATAATCTTTAGCATGGCATCTTGGGATATGGCATGCATTTTTCTCTTTCCATGGTGGACTAGCTTCCTTTATGCTTCCCTTACGCTCTTTATGGTCTTTTTTGTAAATGGCAAAAGTCCAAAAAGTCGAAAAAAAAAAAAGTCCAAAAGAATCAAAGTGGGGTGGGAGGTGATATAGGCAGGATCACCAATATTTAAACCTTTTATTACAGACTTTGGATTTAGCTGTCTTGAAGATCCCTACGATGGCAATCCGTGGCATTTCTAGGCAGTCTTATTCCAGTGCTTTAAGGTGCTGAGGAAAAGGAGATCTGCTGCATAAAGAGAGTGGGAATGAACAAGGTCTCAGCAAACTCTGATGGGGGGATTTGGGCACTGGGAAAGCAGAAAAGGGAGAAGAGACAGGCTTTAGAGAAGTGGGATTTTTAACAGGTGATGGAAATAGTGTCTGCAAAGGTGATGGGTACCAGGAAACGATGGGTGGCTTCTTGAGATCAAGAGTTGAACCGGCAGGAAGAGCTAACATCCTAACAATGAGTGCTATGTGAAAACATGAATAAATTAGTAACTTTAGCCCAGAATTTGAATAGCATGTGGTAAATACCATGTGTGCTGCTCTAGATGGAAAACAAAGACAAAATACTGAATAGTGCCTCATTAGGAGAACACTGTGCTTTTCATTCAGTTAATGAGGAAGAGGAACTATGGAAATAACAGTACATAGTCACATGTTTAAATTCTGTATCATACTTTTGGATTTGAGCTTTCCCTAGCGTTTAGTATCTGACTTTGCAACGTGAACATTACTTCTGTATTTGCATGTTACAAATATGATCCACTGCTTTGTTTAATGCTAGTCAAATAAATAGAAATAATTTTCTTATGGTAACATTTTGGTCCCATCCATTTCACTCCTTTAATAATATTTTGAAAATAAGTTACTCTCTTAAAATTGCGGTGATGAACATATATGAATTATAAAATGCTACAAAAAGTATATAGAAAGATGTTTGAATTTGCGTTGTTGCTGAATGGTGAATGTGGTCTTATGAGTTTCCTGGGTTTTACTACTAATCTACTGCATCTGTCTTTGCTCAGCTTTTATATTGCTGTTGTGTTGTGGCTGTGGCTTCTCATCTGATTTGCAGTCTTCAGCTTTCAGCCTGTCTCTTTCTTCCTTTTATTTTATGGGCAGACCTGAAGAGCGTGTGCTTGGGATTTGTCGTTCTCTTCTGTGTTTTACAGTGCACAGTCCAAATGGGACCACAAAATTCTAAGATGGCAATAATATTCAGATATCACTCTGATGGCAGGCAGACCAGATCTTATCCATTGGACTGTTTTCACACAAGAATAGTGAATTTGACATGCTAAATTACAAAACTCCTTGATGTGCATTTTACTTTGTGGTGTAAACAGCCATACATAACATTTCTTGTTATCAGAAAAAAAAATTGCTCAGTTGTTTTTTGGGTTTTTTTTGGAGGAAGTTGCTGTGGTAGGCTTTATTTTACTGTGAAGTTTATAAGCTGCTTTGAATCAGGACAGTATTGGGTTATACTACTTTAGTATGATTTTATTGCTGCTTATTTAGTGACTTAACAAACTTGAGATTATTGACGTTTTTACTGAAGCAGTAACTTCTTATTTTAATAGGAAATGGACCTTCGGGAATTTGTCTGTCTTACCTGCTCTCTGGCTACAGGCCATATTTATCTCCTGAAGCGATACACCCCAACCCCATCCTACATACCAAATTAGAAGAAGCTCGACATCTGTCCATTGTTGATCAGGTAAGCTTGGGTTGCCATCTTGGCTAGATCTTTTCCTACTGCAAGCTGGATGATGAAATGATCCTGTTTAAAATGCTTTTGCAACTAACATGGCCTCAAGTTACGCCAGGGGAGGCTTAGATTGGATATTAGGAAACATTTCTTCACGGAAAGGGTTATCCAGCATTGGCATGGGCTGCCCAGGGAGGTGGTTGAGGCACCATCCCTGGAGGTGTTCAAAAGACGGGTTGACGTGGTCCTCAGGAATATGGTTTAGTGTTGTGGTTTTATTTGTTTGGTTTTTTTTATTGCTTATTTCTTACTTATTTTTTTTTTTGGTCAGAGTTAGGTTGATGGTTGGACTAGATGATCTTTAAGGTCCCTTCCAACCTAGACAATTCTAACATAAATAGTGCCATAGACAAGAAAAGGCTTAATATTCTCACCCCACAAAGAATTAGAGGTCACAGTAAAGCTCAGTAACTGTGTGGCTATACACCTTCTGCAGTGGCTTGTAACAAATTACATGTAGGGCACTTCAGATGAAAAGCAGGGCATTTTAAGAACTGCTTATCCAAAAAAACCTTGCAGATTGCATTGTGAAAAACCAGCCTACTTTCCTAACCCTATTTCTAATGCATTAAGAAGTTATTTTGTTTTTCTGTTAATTTAAATAGAATCAACTCATGACTGTTAGGTCCAATCCTCGGGCGTGTGGTGGTTTTGTGGTTCTTAAGGGCTTTTTGTTTGTGTTATTTTTTTGGTTTTACAATCTGCCCTTTGTTGTGTTTTTACTACTTGCCAAGAGTGTCTAAAGCACCACTTGGTCAGTGAGTAGCTGATGTGGGACTTCCAGCTTTCAGGTCCTAGGATGTTTGGGCACTACCATCAAAGAACAAATGCTGCTAACGTTCTTCAAGTTAAAAACTTCCTGAGTAGTACAATTCTCATTAAGACTTCTTTTTTACTAACCTTAGGGACATACATCCTCTCTCTAAACGTTTTTCTTTTCTGAATAGTGTGCATCCTTCAGTGTTTGTGTTGTGCTCACAATTGCTCTTGTGCTGTATTTGTTACCCTGGTACACATCCAATTTTTCTGTCTGATTCATTAGTTAAATCTTCTCCATTATTTTTTTTCCCCCCCACTTACCCATCTGTTTGCCATGTTATTGTTTTCTACTCCCCTCACCCTACTCCTGATGGATTACTCATAATGCTATCGACTAACTGATTGCCTCTGTGACTAATTTGTTTGGAATACAAAAAATGCATATGTGTTTGTAATGAGGAAGTAGGTGTTGTTTGGCTTTGGCTTTTGTTTTGGGTGGGGTTTTTTTCTTTTGTTTGTTTGTTTTGGTGCTTAGCTGTTTGCATGTAATTTTAACCTTAAGTCTCAAGGTTTATTTTTTTGGGGGTAAGAGTAAACTGCCCAAGCTTTTGGCTACAGGTGTTTCACAGACTTCATCCTCCCCTGACCCCCTCAGATTTTCCCAGTTTAGGAAACTAAACTGTCCTGTCTCTGTCAGTAAAAATTGGCCTTATGGCCAATTCTTTCTTCAAAATCTATTTTTTTCTTCACATATTTGTGATTGCCTTGTGAATTTTTTAGAACCTGACTGGTTAATAGATGCTGAAATGTGAACATTTTATAAAATTCTAGAAATTGTTCTCAACTGCTTTGTAAAATAAGCTTAGTTTTAATTATTTTTTTTAAATAATACTTGTAATACCTCCATTACGTCAAAATATAATAAAGTTAGTGTTGCAACTACTTAAGAGCTGTCAAAGGAGCTTTTTCTACTTGATCTTTAAAACTTAATGATTTTAGATTCAGATTTTGCTTTATTAAAATGGAGCTCCTAGAAATACTAGCAATTCTTTGTTAAAAACAGTGTCTGCTATCTATAAATATAAATGTTCTTAAGTTGCTTGTATCTCTGACTGTTTGTCCCTATATTTCTTTTTCTACAATGAATTTCAGCCACTGACCTGCTCTGGTATCACTGTGTTATTAATGTATAATTTTTAAATGAGTGAAATGTATTACTCAGAGTTATAGAGGAACTGAATCATGGCAGTTATTTCTGGGACGTGTTTTGATCAAATGTCTACCTTTAAATGCTTCTACTTAAAATGCAACGTGAACTAATTGTGCTTTCTGTTGCAATTCAACTTCTGTACATCAGAATAGCATGAAGAACAGTACAAGTTACATGAACTTACAGCTTTCTTTCCTACTTCAGGATCTGGAGTACCTGTCTGAAGGCCTCGAAGGACGCTCTTCAAACCCAGTTGCGGTGCTTTTTGATACCTTGCTTCATCCCGACGCTGACTTTGGGTATGACTACCCACCAGTTTTGCACTGGAAGCTGGAACAACATCATTATATTCCCCATATAGTGCTTGGTAAAGGACCACCTGGTGGGGCTTGGCATGTGAGTAAAAATTTCGTTATCGCTTGCAGGGTAATTTGATAATTTTGTAATTTGGAGTTTTTCTTCCTACCTAAGGCTGTTTTAGATAGCAATGGCAATTGCAGTTTCAGCTGCTCAGTTACCAAAGCCAACATTTGTTGGGTAGATGAGAAAGGAAGGAAGAAGTTGCCCTTCCTTTAGGGAGTTGTGACCATGACTGCTGTCTTACGTGGGTTTTTATTAGTTTAAATTTAATGAATTGTAACGAAGACTATTTTCTATGACTTTTTTCTGTTGTCTGTGTTGTTTCCAGGTGCTTTTATACTAAATCTAAAATCTAAATTTGTTCATATGCTGTTGGTTTCACTTTTTTTTTTTCTTCTTGTTTTGTATTTTAAACAACTTGCTTTTTGTTTCCTTTTTGTTTGTTGCCTCTTCATCTTCTCCTTTATTAGATCAGGCAGTTGCCTGTTAAAATCACATCTAACTGTAACGTGAATCTAGTTCATCGGCGCTTGGTGTAACGTCCTGGTGTGAGGTGATGTTCTGGTATTTTATTGCTCTGAGTACAACGAGAAGAATTTCACTGCCTTTTAGGTGAATAGATCCATTTGAAATATATCTGGTCATGCATCTTTTTTTTTTGTTTTTTTCCTCCACAGTCCATGGAAGGCTCTATGCTAACCATCAGTTTTGGAGACTGGATGGAGTTGCCTGGGCTCACCTTTAAGGAGTGGGCAGCCAGCAAACGCAGGTAAAGACACTGCATCATGGATCTGGGAAACCTGGTTGCTCTAAGAATCCAGATAACATTAAGAACTGGAAAACATTCAGACTTCGTTGTTCAGGGGAGGGCTTCTTCTTGTTTTGTTTATTAAATTGCCTGATGGCACTGGAAATTATTCTGCTGGGTGTACTCTGTGAAAGAAAAAGGACAATGGGCAGCCAGAGTAGCTGAGTGCATGGAAAGCCTACGTGTGTGTGTGTGTGTGTTAGTGGCATTTCACAAGGAAGCACTGTTACTGTAAGCAGTTTTGGTCAGAGTTGAGGGGAAGATTGAGGGAGGAATTTAAAATCTACAGAAGGATTGAAGTTCCTCTTTCAGCGTGGATGCAACTGAAGTGGCTGTGCACACCAGCGTGCTTGTAATCCAGAAGTTGGATATTTCAGTATTTGCTTTTACAGGCAAAGCTGCAGCATCTGACATGTTACTATCTATGAATTTTAATTTTAAGAGCATAACTCAGTATTTCCAAATGTTATTTTCTAGTAGTTTCTTGAAAAAAACTTATACAAGATAGTAATGTTTCTTCTCTAAGCTCACTGTTTTTGCTTCAGTTACACAATTAGTTCATAAAGATCTGTCAGCAGATGAACATAGGAACACTCTACAGAAGCTTTTTTAAAAAAAATCTAATTTTCCTGACTTCGCTCTAGCAAAATCAAAGGAAGTTGTTCTTCTACCACATAGGGCAAAAGAAGAAGTAGATTTCCTTGGGCATATGTCTTTAAGGGCAGACTGTTACTCATTTCAGGACACTTGTAGTGAAGAAACCATACCTTTGTTCTTTAATCGCATTCTTAGATAAGCGCAGTAATCTTGCCTCCTTATTAACTGAAATCCCATAAGCTGCTTATTATCTGAAGCTAATTTGTTTATATTACAGTTTTCAACAATACTAAAAACAGAAATGCTGACCTGCCATGCTACAATTAAACAAACATATTTAAAAGTATTGATAATGAAAACTTACAGTCGTGTAAAATAGTTTCCGAAGAGTCATTGTCACAGGTGTCACACTGTCACGTTATCCTCTTCAATAAATGGCTCATCAGGATTTTCAGCAGAGTAACCTGAACATTTCAAAGTACATATGCTATTATCCAATTTCTTACAAAAATTCTTTTAAGCTTAATTCAGTGGCAATCCTCATGTTCACTACTGTTTCTTTTGCCTTCTTCCTAGAGCCTACTTCTGAAGAAGTAGCAAAATTCATGCACCTGTTCAAAATAATTACATTTTCAGCTCCTTTTTTTATAAATGAGAATGCAATAACCATCCTAAAGCATAGATGTAATTCCAGGATTAGAGTGCAAAAATGCTTTTTATTGGACATCATAATCCTGTTGACATAGTTTCATTAAGGTTCTGTGTCACACTTGGCTTTCTTCATTCCTGTGGTGTGGAGCTACTTAATTTGATACTGAACTTCCCTGTATCCGGGGGATACAGGTCTTTTGTGAAGTATAGTAAAGAATACTTCAGTCAAGTAAGATATTGAACCTAGAGTTTCAAAATCAGCCCTTAACAATTAATATGATGTTTAATTAATTATATCCTAAGCAAGTGTATTCTCCCTGAGTACAAGTTTAGCCTGTTGTATTGCTGACAGCCACGATGCTAAACTGGCTTTGTGAAACACTTCCTACTGTGATGCTGCAGAGTTTGCCTCATTTGCTTAATTTGTTGATCACTATAGCCCTTTGCATTGTGAAGATTTACAACTATTTATAAAGTTACCTTGTCTTTGTATATCAGGAATCAAGAGAGCAGATTGAATGCATGATTGAATTTAGAGCAGATTCAGTGCTCTTAACTGTGACTGTCGTACGTGATGTTCAAATTGCCCCAAGGTCTAACTGGAGCCCTTCCATTTTCTTTCAGAAATATAAAGAGTGATCGAGTAATGCCAGAGGAAATAGCTCGGTATTATAAACACTACGTTAAAGTCATGGGCCTCCAGAAGAATTTCAGAGACAACGTTTACATAACGTCAGTGTCCAGGCTTTACCGAGGAAAGGAGGATGAAGATGGGAGTGAAATAGATGAAGGTATTTCAACGCAGCGTTTGGAAATGGAAGATGGACAGAAATCACTGATTAAGAGAAACTGGGAAGTCAGAGGTTACCAGCGAGCGACAGACGGGTCTCATGTCCCCTTCTGCCTCTTTGCTGAGAACGTGGCTCTGGCCACGGGCAGCTTTGATTCTCCTGCCCGGCTGCAGGTTGAAGGAGAAGACTTTCCTTTCGTGCTCCATTCCGTGTCTGACTTTGGAGCTGCTGTCAGCAAAGGGCAGTTCCGTGGGCAGGCAGACCCCGTGTTAATTGTGGGGGCAGGACTGAGCGCGGCCGACGCGGTGCTGTGTGCCCACAACAACAACATCCCCGTCATCCACGTCTTCCGCAGGAGAGTTACCGACACCGGCCTCATTTTCCAACAGCTCCCCAAAAAGCTTTACCCCGAGTACCATAAGGTTTATCACATGATGTGTACTCAGTCCCACCCCGTGGACTCCGGTCTGCGTTCTGCTTACACCAGCTTTCCTGAACACAAGGTACTTTCCTTCAAGCCTGAAATGAAATGTGTTCTTCAGAGTGCCTCCGGACTGAAGAAAATTGTCAAGTTTTCTCTAGCCTTAGTTCTGATAGGTTCTCACCCCAATCTTTTCTTTCTGAAGGACCAAGGGCATAGCATAGGGCATCACTCTAACCAGCCCATCACGTGCAAGGGGAATCCTATAGAGATTGACCCATACACTTACGAATGCACCAAAGAAGCCAACCTCTTTGCTTTGGGTCCTCTGGTGGGAGACAACTTTGTGCGGTTTTTAAAGGGAGGCGCGCTGGGCATCGCGCGCTGCTTGGCCATAAGACAAAAGAAGAAACAGGAATTGCTGGAAGGTGGGGATGGAGGAGGTGATGGGGTACCATAAATGAGCCTTTAGAAGCTTTCCCATACAGAGTTACCAGACGTAGTCTAACAGGACACTCCCTGACAGCCAGAGTTGGTAGCAGTCCCATTTCTGTTGTGTACGAGTAACCTGCGCTTGTATCGCTTGGTAAAGGATGCTGATACTACAATATTTCACCTTTGCACAATACAAAAAACAAAAAAAATTTGATCTGCTGTTACAACTGAGACTACTTAACTGGAATGAATGACTTCCAGATAAAACAGAAAATGAGACTAACTTAACATTGACCTGCCTGTCATCTCTTGCTCAGCTGAAAGAGCAGACTTCCTCTGGCCTACCAGAGTGGCTTTACATCTTTAGTGTCAAACGTGACAAAAGATTCTTGCCATGAAATTAAAGTAACTTGTAAAAGCAGAAAGCTTGCTTACTACAATGTGATTCTTGGTCCCAGAGCAAATTGGGAGCCTTCTGCTTGAAACAAGGATTTTATTTATTTGCCATAGTAATACTTGGAATGAGCACTTAGTAAAATGGATTTTGCTACAAGAAGGATTTCTGTAAGCAAGAAGTAGTCCTCAACACTTATAAATTATCCTGTTTGATAATTGGAATAAAAGAGTAAGCATTCCCATTTAATCTTTTAACACATGATTTGACAGGGTCCATTCATGTTTTTTTCACACTCTGCCTAGAGTTGGGTGAGTGCAGAAAGACTAACAGGAGATGTTCCCCGACAGCAACATGTACATTTCTGAGAATACTCATTAACATAAACAATAAAGTACTGATGTAAGTGCTCTTATTACAGTGTCAATATAATGAATATCTAATATACTACTGAAAAATTAAGTACGTGAGCAAACTTAAGGGTTTTTTGCTTCCTGGCTCAGGAGAACTGAATGGGATCACTTGACTGACGAAGGTGGGTGATAGAGATTGTCATCTCCCATTTGACCAAGTATTGGTTACTTGTCTTTTTCTTTCTAGAGCACCACGTGACACTAAAACTATTTTAGCCTGCAGTTCTTGAAGCTTGAAAAAGGGTTATATCTCCCAGCCAACTAAAGAATAAACCAAACCCAGAACAAACATGCCATAGTTCCTCTAAATCTTAAAGCTTGATACGAAAGACAAAGACTTCACTTGTACTACCTCTGAATTGAAGTATCACTTTTCTGCTCTGTAATGTAAGACCTAGATTTCATTTGCTGGGTTGTAGAGTAGTTAAGTTTACCTAAATGAGTAGAGTAGTTAAGTTTACCTAAATGCACTCATGAGTTACTCACCATAGTGAGGGAAGCCACAGCTAGTTAGTTAAAAACTTACCTTCCGGAACTCTCAATAGACAAAAGTGCTTGGTTTTAAACTGATTTCTTACCAAACGTTTTAATTCAGGTCAAGTGCAATGGAATAGATGTTATTTAATATTAATTTGTTTGTTTGTTTGTTTGTTTGAGGCTATTTTTGTGTGTGGCTGAAAGTCACGTTAGTTTAAGGCATTATATTTGCATGATGAAAATCTCTGTATTAGAACTTGGAACAGATTTTTTCAAAAAGGAAATGAGGCTTAGACTTTGTGAAACTGCTGATGCTCTCTGGGTGCCCAGTGGTCTCCCTTCGGTAAGTTGTAGATCAGTTTATGCAAAAAATGCCTGTTTCTGGTGCCTACTGAGGGAAGGGCTTCTGGGGCTGCTGCATCTGGGGCTTTACGCATCCCAGGAAGTTCCTCTTGACTTTGGACATAGAAATTGAAAAGGCCAAGTCTGCAAGGATTAAAATGACTCCCTTTTCCATGGTAGTCCAAAGGAATTTATGAAAGGATGCTACTCTTTAGTTTAGAGCCAACTTAATAGCATAAAAATAAACAAATGAATCCATGTTTCTATTAATACCTGCATTGGCTCCGTGGTTGGATGTAACCATGAGTTGTCAATACTAGTTAAGATGCTTTTTGATACTCTTACTTGAGCTGCTTTTAATTATGCTAAATTCTAGGGCTTATTTGCTTCCTAATTGAATTGAGATGCTACAATTTGCCTTCCTTGGCAGAAGCTGTGTGTATGTAAATCTAAGCCTGTGATACCTAAGAATTGAAACCGAGACTCGGTGTTATAAGCGCTGAATACTTGATTATAGTATATTATATTATATATTATACTTGATCAACTTTATTGCAGTTGATATATTGGGAATACATCTGCTCTGTGATTCGGTGCCTTCAGTTTGGTGTCGATAGAAATGTCTGGGTACAACATATCATGGCATGTTGCTGCTTTTTCATTTGTCCTGGGGAACCTTTGAAATGCCAACAGAACAAAGGAAGCCATTTACAGTTATTTTTGCAAAAAGGGGAGAAAAAAAAAGCTTCAAGCAGCCAAACCTTTAGCCCCAGCTGCGGAAGGAGCTGTGTGTGTGTGTTGTAGTCACACATTTGTAGCAGAGGGTTTTGTCCTGTTATTAGGCAGGCACCTTTCACTGCTCTGTCGCAACACCTCAAGGTTTAACTGCCTTTTTTATTTTTGAGATAAAAAAAATAAAATAAAAAAATTGCATGAGACCGCTTAGTCAGGCAAAGAAATTTTCTCAGTGGTCATCTTTATTAAGCCAATACAAAAATACTTCTTTTAACTAAAGCTTTACTAAGAAATCATCCTGTTTCTTCTAGGTTTAAAGTTGTAGCTGGGCTTTCTCACCTTTGGGTTTCTGATTTGGAGAGAAACTTCTGTTTCTCTCCTCTGGTGTTTTGAGATAATGAAGAGATGAAAAAGTTCAAGCTTTGCCTTAGGATGGTTTTACCTAAAGCTTTCTATCATCCGTAGTGCATTTCTTGTGGATCAGATGTTGGCACTAAATAGTTGTCTTTTGGGGAAATAGTTTGTTTCCCAGATTAAAAAAAAAAAACCCAAACCCAGAAAACATTGAAATTTCCTGCATGTTATAGTTCCCAGGAGGGAGACTGCTGCTTTGAGCTCTTCTTTCAGTGAGAAAGAGAAGCTTTTAAACATCATGTATTTAAAAAGGATGCTTAAGCTTAAGCTTTATTACTAAAATACAGACAGGAAGAATATAATTTTCAACGAAAGGAATTTAATTTGGATTTATAGATGTTTATACTGTGTATTTTTAAATAGACTAGTGGGAAAACGTCTATTTTAGGGTTGGTTCTTGATGACAAATATGTCTTCTACCTAAATTCCTAGCTAAGATTAATTGTCCTAGCTAAAATTATTATTATTTTTAAGTAGTATCCAGCTGTTGAACTGGGACTAAGATTTGCCTTAGTAGATTTCTCTAAAGATCTGCTTCCTGTGTGGTTATTAATAAGTGCTTGTTAATGAAGGCACCTGACGGGGCGGTAGGAAGCAGCACAGCCTTTCTTTGGCTTTCCAGTAGATGATTGACTTCTGCTTCAAACATTTTCTAGCAAAGAGGAAGGTTTGGGTTTTACCTTGGTGAGTAAACGCAGAAATCCAGAGAGAGTGGGGACAACAACATGGGATGTTCTCCTAGGAAAAGGCCTTGCCCTGGGGCAGCAGCCTGTACCTCCAATCAGGGACACCAAAGTGTGTCCCTCCCGCTGTAGGTCCCTGGTCCTCAGCACTTAGGGAATCCTTGGGCTTTACTCTTTTATTTTCCTTCTGGCCCCTGGTTTTTTTTTTTAATGATTAATTTCCTAGTGATGGTTGCATAATGAAAAATAATGTTGTAGAGGGAGGCGGCTGTAGCTTCTTTCTCTCACAGCTCGAGACCCGTGAAAAGAAAAGCTAGAGCCAGAAAAGCAGAGTACTTACTCAAAATTAAATTAAAACCCAAACTTTGAGGCAGGCCTCCCGTCCTCCTGTGTCACCAGCTTCACTTAGTCTCCAACCCGTTGCCATCAGGCCTGTAGTGACAGGACGAGGGGCAATGGCTTCAAGCTGGAGGGGAACAGATTTAGACTGGAGATGAGGAGAGGGTTCTTCACTGTGAGGGTGGTGGAGCACTGGAACAGGTTGCCCAGGGAGGTGGTTGAGGCCCCATCCCTGGAGATATTCAAGGAGAGGCTCGACGAGGCCCTGGGCAACCTGGTCTAGTTGGGGGTGTCCCTGCTGACTGCGGGGGGGTCGGACTAGATGGCCTTTGGAGGTCCCTTCCGGCCTGGGCAATTCTATGATTCTATCATCTCTTTTTAATTGGTTATTAACTGAAGTTCCGCTGAAGCGCGACACAAAGGTGTGAAGCAGAAGCAGTTGATTGGCTCCGGAAGCTGCAGGGGTGGAGGAGAAGAAGGTGGTTGTGCCAAGAGATGGGACCTGGTTGCTCTGGTACCATGTTTTCTGAGAAAGGAAGGAAATATTTTCATGTAGGAGCGGAATTTTACGCTGTAACAGTGGTAGCTCCCAAACGTTTCTAACCAGCAAGAGGTGGCTTAGCTCAGAGGTACGTCTTACAGGCAATTTTATTTTCAATTTTATTATCATTTTTATTATCAACCACACAGCAATGAGTTCATTTTGAAGAAGTTAGGGAACAAAAAAAATGCTAAGAGGTTTATAATTAGTTTGGATAATATTTTACAACCTTACAGTAATGGGGTTCTGTCATCATTTCGGATTAGTTTTCCAGTTTAGAGCAAGATGGGAGCACGGAACCTCGACTGATAGGATTTTGGGGTATTTACTTCCCCCTTTCCCCTTACCCAACCTGAAAGAAAATCTATGCTTTGTTTGAAATAACTGTAATACCTGAAAACACTCATTTACAGATAAAGGCAGGTTTTGGTGACACTAGGGGTACAAACTTGAAGTGAGGATATTGAAGTATAAGCTGTTTTTTTATTGAAAAAGACTGTATTTTGGGGAATATGGGACAATTACGGTGTTTCAGTTAGTTTTTGAAGCTTGAATTACACAGGGACTCGTGAGGTCAAGGATGAATTTGGTGTAAGGAACAAAGATTGGGGGGAAAGTATTTATAATATAATTTAGTAATTATAGTGAAGCTAAGCACCGTTTTAAAGATGGCTTTGCCCTTCCTGACATCAGAGCATTTCAGCTCCAGCAAAGTGGTCATCAGCAGTCATCAAAATCAGGAAAAAAAAATAGACTTCATATTCTTCTCTCTTCTATCCTTCTGAAACGACTTATTCTGGAGACTAAGGTAATCTATTTTGCATTTTCCTCCCCTGGCTGTTTATTCCGAGATCCCTGGCGGTGTGTGTCAGCCTGTGCTGCCCACGGTAGGAAATGGAGCTTCATGGTCCTGGAATGAAATGAGATCCTTATGAGGAGAGGCTGAGGGAGCTGGGGTTATTCAGCCTGGAGAAGAGGAGGCTGAGGGGAGACCTTATTGCTCTCTACAACTCCCTGAAAGGAGGGTGTAGAGAGATGGGGGTCGGTCTCTTTTCTCAAGTCACAGGCGACGGGATGAGAGGAAATGGCCTCAAGTTACACCAGGGGAGGTTCAGGCTGGATATTAGGAAAAATTTTTTCACTGAAAGGGTTCTCAGGCATTGGAATGGGCTGCCCAGGGAGGTGGTTGAGGCACCATCCCTGGAGGTGTTCAAAAGACGGGTTGATGTAGTGCTGGGAGGTCTGGTTTAGTGATGATGCTCCTTGTTTATTGTGTGGGTGTCTATTTTTGTCAGTTAGGTTGACAGTTGGACAAGATGATCTTTAAGGTCCCTTCCAACCTAGAAGATTCTGTGATTCTGTGATTGCCCTCTGGAGACTGAAGCACCAGCAGAAAGAAAATGAACAGCATTTTAGGAATTCGCAAAGTATTATGGAATCCTGGCATTCTTTGTGGTTTTTAATTAGGTGT